GTTGGGGCAAGTGCTGTTAGCGAGCACCTATGAAGCCCTGAACGCTACGCGAACGGGGATAGGTGGCCGCCACCACCACGCCCGGCCGCCTTTGTGTCCCCAGTGGCGATGTTGACTACACACCGCAATAGGTACTCATTTGAGGCCGAGTCGACCTAGGGGAGGAGGCCCAGGACCGGTTCAGACAATCGCCACCACTGTTGGCCGCGAGAGGGGGGGGATCGAACTCGGGTGGCCGGGTTCGTAGCGCAGCGTAGCGCTAACCGCTGCACACGCCGTCTGGAGACGACACGCACGCACAAGGCAGGTTGCCACAGTGGCTCTGCAGGCTCACGTGCTGCGTGAGCAGCCACGCAAGTGCAATACAGCAACAACAAAAACAATTGTTGCACGCCACCTCTATGCTCCCACGACTAGCGCTCGCCAGCCTTCACCGACCCGCAACTCGCACGGCGTGGGAACGGAGGATCCCTCGGCCAACAATGGCAGCTGGTTATGATGACACCATACATGGGGTGCTGCGGCGGCGAGATGTTAACGACCTCGCCTGGTATACAGGAGGTCGTGGGTTCGATCTTGACCCTGACGCCTGCTGCTGTGTATTTGGAGTTTGCGTGTCTCTCTCTCTCTCATCACGATGGCTAGATGTTAACTACCTCGCCCGTTATACAGGAGGTTGTGGGTTCGATCCCGACACTGACGCCTGCTGCTGTGTATTTGGAGTTTGCGTGTCTCTCTCTCTCTCATCACGATGGCTAGATGTTAACTACCTCGCCCGTTATACAGGAGGTTGTGGGTTCGATCCCGACACTGACGCCTGCTGCTGTATATTTGGAGTTTGCATGTCTATCTCTCTCATCACGATGGCTAGGAGATGTAACTACCTCGCCTGGTATACAGGAGGTCGTGGGTTCGATCCCGACCCTGACGCCTGCTGTATATTTGGAGTTTGCGTGTCTCTCTCTCTCATCACGATGGCTAGGAGATGTTAACTACCTCGCCTGGTATACAGGAGGTCGTGGGTTCGATCCCGACCCTGACGCCTGCTGCTGTATATTTGGAATTTGCGTGTCTCTCTCTCTCATCATCATCACGGTGGCTAGGAGATGTTAACTACCTCGCCCGTTATGCAGGAGGTCATGAGTTCGATCCCGACCCTGGCGCCTGCTGCTGCTGCTGTATATTTGGAGTTTGCGTGTCTCTCTCTCTCATCATCATCACGGTGGCTAGGAGATGTTAACTACCTCACCCATTATACAGGAGGTCGTGAGTTCGATCCCGACCCTGGCGTCTGCTGCTGCTGCTGTATATTTGGAGTTTGCGTGTCTCTCTCTCATCATCATCACGGTGGCTAGGAGATGCTAACTACCTCGCCTGGTGTGCAAGAGGTCGTGGGTTCGATCCCGACCCTGGCGCCTGCTGCTGTATATTTGGAGTTTGCGTGTCTCTCTCTCTCATCACGATGGCTAGGAGATGTTAACTACCTCGCCCGTTATGCAGGAGGTCGTGAGTTTGATCCCGACCCTGACGCCTGCTGCTGCTGTATATTTGGAGTTTGCGTGTCTCTCTCTCTCATCATCATCACGGTGGCTAGGAGATGTTAACTACCTCGCCTGGTGTGCAGGAGGTCGTGGGTTCGATCCCGACCCTGACGCCTGCTGCTGCTGTATATTTGGAGTTTGCGTGTCTCTCTCGCCGCGGTCGCGTGGATTTTCCTCTGGGTTCTCCGGTCTCCCCCCCGCGCCCCCTCCACATTATCACGCGTTCAGACTAATTTGGTTGCTTACATTTTCACGTGATGATGATAATAAGCCGCCAACTTCGTGGAACTATCATTTGTGACAGCCAGGTCGTCGTCTTCTGTAAAAATAGCTACAACATAAGCTCAGTGGGGGGGGGGGTGGGTGCTTACTTAGTAACTTGTTTAGTTTCGTAATCTTTCGCGTAAAATTTACAAAATTCGCATCGAGTCGTCTTTGCCGTCTTCTTATTCTTCTTCTTCACACCATCGACAAATGTCAACTCGACCGCGCGCCAAGCGAAACCCACGAGCGGATTAAAGCGCACACATCGATTAATCGTAACGGGCGGATTAAAGCGCACACATCGATTAATCGTAGCGGGCGGATTAACGCGCACACATCGATTAATCATAACGGGCGGATTAAAGCGCACAAATCGATTAATCGTAGCGAGCGGATTAAAGCGCACACATCGATTAATCGTAACGAGCGGATTAAAGCGCACACATCGATTAATCGTAGCGGGCGGATTAACGCGCACACATCGATTAATCATAACGGGCGGATTAAAGCGCACAAATCGATTAATCGTAGCGAGCGGATTAAAGCGCACACATCGATTAATCGTAACGAGCGGATTAAAGCGCACACATCGATTAATCGTAGCGAGCGGATTAAAGCGCAGAAATCGATTAATCGTAGCGAGCGGATTAAAGCGCACACATCGATTAATCGTAACGAGCGGATTAACGCGCACAAATCGATTAATCGTAGCGAGCGGATTAAAGCGCACAAATCGATTAATCGTAACGAGCGGATTAAAGCGCACACATCGATTAATCGTAGCGAGCGGATTAAAGCGCACACATCGATTAATCGTAGCGAGCGGATTAAAGCGCACACATCGATTAATCGTAGCGAGCGGATTAAAGCGCACACATCGATTAATCGTAGCGAGCGGATTAAAGCGCACACATCGATTAATCGTAGCGAGCGGATTAAAGCGCACACATCGATTAATCGTAGCGAGCGGATTAAAGCGCACACATCGATTAATCGTAGCGAGCGGATTAAAGCGCACACATCGATTAATCGTAACGAGCGGATTAACGCGCACAAATCGATTAATCGTAGCGAGCGGATTAAAGCGCACAAATCGATTAATCGTAACGAGCGGATTAACGCGCACAAATCGATTAATCGTAGCGAGCGGATTAAAGCGCACAAATCGATTAATCGTAACGAGCGGATTAAAGCGCACACATCGATTAATCGTAGCGAGCGGATTAAAGCGCACACATCGATTAATCGTAGCGAGCGGATTAAAGCGCACACATCGATTAATCGTAACGAGCGGATTAAAGCGCACAAATCGATTAATCGTAGCGAGCGGATTAAAGCGCACACATCGATTAATCGTAACGAGCGGATTAAAGTGCACACATCGATTAATCGTAGCGAGCGGATTAAAGCGCACACATCGATTAATCGTAGCGAGCGGATTAAAGCGCACACATCGATTAGTCGTAGCGAGCGGATTAAAGCGCACACATCGATTAATCGTAGCGAGCGGATTAAAGCGCACAAATCGATTAATCGTAACGAGCGGATTAAAGCGCACAAATCGATTAATCGTAGCGAGCGGATTAAAGCGCACACATCGATTAATCGTAGCGAGCGGATTAAAGCGCACAAATCGATTAATCGTAGCGAGCGGATTAAAGCGCACAAATCGATTAATCGTAGCGAGCGGATTAAAGCGCACACATCGATTAATCGTAACGAGCGGATTAACGCGCACAAATCGATTAATCGTAGCGAGCGGATTAAAGCGCACACATCGATTAGTCGTAGCGAGCGGATTAAAGCGCACACATCGATTAATCGCAAGGGGGACACAACACGTGTGTGACCTCGCGCGAGCCGAGAGGGTGATCGATGGGGGCACGGTGAGGTCGTCATCCAGCAGCGGAGAGAGAGAAACCCCCAACACGCAAATGGTTGTTGTGGGTTGTTGTGGGTTGCCGTGCCTCGCAACGAATGGGCACGTTCTGTTTACGTGACAAAAAACCTTTACTAAACCACCTATATTCTTGGTTCTTTCGGTAAAGTCACGTAGAAGAAGGGAAATAATACAATCATAAAAATATTAAACGATAAAATCCTCACGACGTTTCGATTGCAACACAAGCAATCATCATCAGGTGTGAAAACCACAGCAAGAACATTTGAAGAAAAAAAAATGCAAGACAATTTGAAAAAGTTTTCTGTGGTTTTCACACCTGATGATGATTGCTTGTGTTGCAATCGAAACGTCGCGAGAATTTTATTGTTTCATATTTTTATTATTTTATTATTTCCCTTCTTCTTCTACGTGACTTTACCGAAAGAACCAAGAATATGAATCCCTGCAGTCACGAAAGCTTTAAATCGAAATAAACTGCCTACATTACGGATGATATTGATCGCAAAACGCCCGACTAACCATCACCACCACCACTGCTGCTACGACTTACGCGTTAATAAACTAACGTGGAGGTTTATAATTGTTTTACCCTTCTATCTGGCAACAAAACTGACACTTTTTTACAAGGAGTCATGTTTGCATAGACCACAATACCTGCAGCCATAATGCAAACAAAAAACACAACTCTGATAATGTGCACTGACTTGTGTTTTTTTTTGCATTATGACCGCAGGTATTGTGGTCTATGCAAACATGACTCCTTGTAAAAAAAAGTGTCAGTTTTATTGCCAAATAGAAGGGTAAAAAAAACAATTATCATATTCTTAGGTTTTTTCGGTAAAGTCACGTTGGTAAAACATCAAAATTAATAAAAATAAAATATTTTATTTTACTTTTATTAATTTTGATGTTCTACCTACGTGACTTTACCGAAAAAACCTAAGAATATGAATCCTTGCAGTCACGAAAGCTTCAAATCTCGAAACAATTATCATATTCTTTACGGAGTAACGTGGAGTTTGTTTACAATCGCCGGTGCCGTTCATATTTCCCAGCTCGCATAAGCGCTCGACCCCCCCCCCTCCAACCCCCCCTCGCGCCATTGGCCCCTGCGGCCCACGTGACGCGGCGTTCGTCCAATGGGCGTGGTAATGCCACGCTTATCTGCACTGGGAAATCTCAAGGGAGGGCGTGGCCACCCCCCCCCCCGTTCGAAGCGAAGCAAAAAAATGGAGAAAAAAAAGCCGCGAATTGGAACTGCGGCGGCGTCGTTCGGCAAACTCGGCACTCGCCTTCGTCGTAGTGTCCGCAGTCCTGCAGCTCGGCGAAGTACTCCTCCGTCTCCTGCAGGTTGTTCTGGAAGTGCTGCTTGAGGCGGCCGAAGGCGCGGAAAGTGCGCGCCAGCTCCTGGGCGAGCAGCGCGGGCGACGCGACGAACCAACGAGTCGACGCGTCCGCCATCATGAACTGGGCGGCTCGGGAGGGGGGGGGGGCAGCTGTGCAGGGGGGCGGGGCAATGAGGGGGGGGGGGGGGGCTGTGGAGGGGGGCGGAGCGATGGGTGGGCGGGGCAATGGATGGAGGGGGGCGGGGTAATGAGGGGTGGGGCAATGGGGAGGGTGGAGCAGTGGGTGTAGGGGGGTGGGGTAATGGGTGGAGGGGGGCGGGGTAATGAGTGGAGGGGGGCGGGGCAATGTGGGTGGAGGGGGGCGGGGTAATGAGTGGGCGGGGCGATGGGTGGAGGGGGGCGGGGCGATGGGTGGAAGTGGGCGGGGCGATGGGTGGAGGGGGGCGGGGTAATGTAGGAGGAGGGGTGGGGCAATGAGTGGGCGGGGCGCTGGGGGAGGTGGGGCACTGGGTGGAGGGGGGCGGGGCAATGGGTGGAGGGGGGTGGGCTAATGAGTGGGCGGGGCGCTGGGGAAGGTGGGGCAATGGGTGGAGGGGGGCGGGGCAATGTGGGTGGAGGGGGGCGGGGTAATGAGTGGGCGGGGCACTGGGTGGAGGGGGGCGGGGCAATGGGTGGAGGGGGGTGGGCTAATGAGTGCGCGGGGCGCTGGGGAAGGTGGGGCAATGGGTGGAGGGGGGCGGGGCAATGTGGGTGGAGGGGGGCGGGGTAATGAGTGGGCGGGGCACTGGGTGGAGGGGGGCGGGGCAATGGGTGGAGGGGGGTGGGCTAATGAGTGGGCGGGGCGCTGGGGAAGGTGGGGCAATACGGGGGGGGGGGGCGGGCAATGGAGGGAGGTGTGGTCAATAAAGGGGGGGGGGAATTTAGGGGGGCGGGGCAGTCGGGGGAGGGGCGCGATCAATTTGACTCAGAATTAGAATTTAGACAAGATGAGGAATCCGATGAGCTGTAAAGCTCTTTTCACAATGGGGAAAAGGGGTGGGGCAATAGGGAGAGAGGCGGGGGAGATTGGACAATGTGTCTCTGAATACAATTGAGTTTATACTGGTAGGAACGAAGTGAACCCGCCTACAATAGATTATATCGTCCGTCCGTCCGTCCGTGTAGCAACATCGCCCCCTACTGCAAACACTTGGCAGGACCCTACAAAAACCTTTAGACTCAGTGACGCTTTCCTGGCTAAACAAGTGCAACATTCCCTTATAATTCCCTAAATAGCTTTTAATTAAAACATTTAAATTAAAAATTAACTCACAGCGGCCTAAAGCCTACAGCTAGGCCTAAAGCCTAGAACTAGGCCTCAAACTCTCCCTTCGTATCATACCCCCGCGTGTGTGAAAGGGAGTTAATGTTTTACAATGTTACATTCCCTGATGTTTTTTTAAAATAGAAACATTTACATTTAAAGCTTTTACATTAATAATTAAAACATTTAAATTAAAAATTAACTCACAGCGGCCTAAAGCCTCCAGCTAGGCCTAAAGCCTAGAACTAGGCCTCAAACTCTCCCTTCGTATCGTCCGATTAGGTGTAGCAACATCGCCCCCTACTGCAAACACTTGGCAGGACCCTACAAACCTTTAGACTCAGTGGGGCTTTCCTGGCTAAACAAGTGTAATAATACATTATGTTTATATTCTTTGGTTATTAGTTCCTACCAGCCCACCCCGCAGGGTCCTGTTTTATATTCTTTGGTTCTTTCGGTAAAGTCACGTAGGTGAAACCTGATGACGGACGCTTGTGTTGCGCCCGTTAATTTAGTTATTTTAATTTTTTATTTTATTTTAATTTTTTATTCTTATTTTCACCCACCCGATGCCATGGATCCTTGCAGTGACGAAAACTTCAAATCTAGAATTGAGTTTATTTAGTCATACACTCATACGTTTGAATTATTTGAGGTTGTATGCGTTAGTAGAGAGCGAATACTAGGTAACTATTCACGTGATAATAAACACACTTCACGAGGAGACGTTTTAAAGGTGTAATTATTGCCGTGTTCTATCATAATGCGCCAAACGAAGGGCCATTGCCCGAAACGTCCCCTCTACCATAGGGGCCGTCCATAAATGACGTCACGCACCTGGGGGAGGGGGTCAGACATTTGTGACGATGTGTGACGAGGGGGGGGGGTTGAGAAATGTGACGTCACATCAAAATGCGCAACTTTAAATAAATATAGACAACACGTTCTACTTACTTAAATAGACTTGTAAATAAATGTTTTCTCCTACAACATCAGAGTGCAGCGCCACATTAAATACGCACTACAATGACAATTATTTAAAGCGATTCGAAGCATGTTTTATTTTCAAAATGCAAACATGGTTTTCGGGGGGGGGGAGGGGGGCAGAGCTTTGTGACGTCATATTTGAGGTGGGGGGGGCTGACTTTTTGTGACGCCGTGTAACGAGGGGTGGGGGGGGGGTCAAAAATCGTCTAAAATCGCGTGACGTCATTTATGGACGGCCCCATATTTTTTTTTTCGCTTTCGGGCTGCACTGGGTGAGGCTTTATCTGGGAAACCTCAGCGGGATGAAGTGGGCGGGGCGAGATGGCCTTGGGGGGGAGGGGCTGTGGGTTAACTGGGGGATGGGGGCGGGGTTTGTGGGCTTTGGTTAAATTATTTCGGCTGTTTTGTACAGGACAGAGGTCGCAACCGGGTACCCGATACCCGTACCCTACCCGATACCCGGCTACTCGTACCCGGCCGGGGTACAGGTAGCCGTTTGCGACCCTGGTGCAGCCGGGTACGGGTAGGCCGTGAGTCACTGGTGAGTAACCATTTGTCACTCATTTCGGGTAGGGTACGGGTAGGGAACGGATACCCTATTCTTAGGTTTTTTCGGTAAAGTCACGTAGGTAAATTTTTTTAATTTAAATTAATAAAAGTAAAATAAAATAAAAATCACGACGTTTCGGAGGCAACACAAGCTTCCGTCTTCAGGCGGAACCGTCACAGCACGCTTGCTGTACCATTTGCGACCCTTGTGCGGCCGGGTACGGGTAAGGAATCAAAACCCGTTTGCGACCTCTGGTACAGGATGGTCCAGATGTCTTGTGACCTCCCCTCCCCCATTTAATTCTCTAAGCAAGTGATTCTTAACCTGGGGTGCACGCAATCCCTGGGGGGGTGGGGTTGGTGCGGGATGCCCTTTCTAAGGACCAAAACGGTGCAGGCTGCACTAAAGGTTAAGAAACCGCTGGTCTACATTATTAACTACACGAACTTGTAAGGAAAAAACATGCTAACGAAGACAATGGCTATATTACCAGAGGAGGTTTGTTTGCATGCTTATCATGTGGAACTGTAAAGCAGCCAAATACTCTGAAAGCATGTTTCGAAATGTGGAGAGGAAAAACTGGAGGACCCCGAGAAAAATCCACACGGCTCCAGGGGGAGAGAGACACGCAAACTCCAAATATACAGCAGCAGCAGGCGTCAGGGTCGGGATCGAACCCACGACCTCCTGAATACGAGGCGAGGTAGTTAACATCTCCTAGCCACCGTGATGATGATGATGAGAGACACGCAAACTCCAAATATGCAGCAGCAGGCGTCAAGGTCTGGATCGAACCCACGACCTCCTGTATACCAGGCGAGGAAGTTAACATCTCCTAGCCACTGTGATGATGATGATGAGAGATAGAGACACGCAAACTCCAAATATACAGGAGTCAGGGTCAGGATCGAACGCACGACCTCCTGAATACCAGGTGAGGTAGTTAACATCGCATAGCCACTGTGATGATGATGAGAGAAAGAGACACGCAAACTCCAAATATACAGCAGGCGTCAGGGTCGGGACCGAACCCACGACCTCCTGTATACCAGGCGAGGTAGTTAACATCTCCTAGCCACCGTGATGATGAGAGAAAGAGACACGCAAACTCCAAATATACAGCAGGCGTCAGGGTCGGGATCGAACCAACGACCTCCTGAATACCAGTCGAGGGAGTTAACATCTCCTAGCCACTGTGATCATGATGAGAGAAAGAGACACGCAAGCTCCAAATATACAGGAGTCAGGGTCGGGACCGAACCCACGACCTCCTGAATACCAGGCGAGGTAGTTAACATCTCCTAGCCACTGTGATGATGATGAGAGAGAGAGACACGCAAACTCCAAATACACAGCAGGCGTCAGGGTCGGGATCGAATCCACGACCTCCTGTATATCAGGCGAGGAAGTTAACATCTCCTAGTCGCTGTTGCGCCCAGTATTAACCAGGGCCGCCTGCCGGATTCTAACCCGTGAAACCCCTGCGACAAGAGGCGAACGCATTGCGTAACTTCCTCACTTAACATAACTGACCCAACGTGGATTTCAAATTTTAAATACAACTCTTTCTGACCGTACGCATACATGTAGGCTGGCCTCAAGCGGGATATTTGACCGGGCGTAATGCGAACATTGTGTCACGGAAATGGGAAAAAAAACGTGGGTCTCACCGCAACAGAAAATCTCCCCTCCCCTCCAAATAAACTTTGACGCAAACATTTTTTTCTTCCGTTTAAGGGCCACGGTGGTTTATTTACGAATGTGTTGAGTGTGCATTTATTTATTTCACTCTTCTTATTATTAAACTTATTCTTTCGTACGGCTGCTATTGTAGATTCCGAGCAACAACTACAATTTCACTGTCACGTGGTCGATCCAGCGGCGTCGTCGCATCATCATCGCTGTGACGTCTCCTTTTGTTCTCGATTTGAAGCTTTCGTGACTGCAAGGATTCATACTCTTGGGTTTTTTTTCGGTAAAGTCACGTAGGTAAAAAAATATAATAATAAAAGATAAATAATAATAAAAATAATAGAAGAAATAATAAAATAAAATAATAAAATTGTATTACTATTATTGCTTCTATTATTTTAAATATTAATATTTTATTCTTTATTTATTTTTACCTACGTGACTTTACCGAAAAAACCTAAGAGTATGTCTCCTTTTGTATTTTCGGGTCGTGATTGCGTCATTATGTGTGTGTACGGTCTGTTCTGGATGACCACAGTCGCACCGCCACCACTACTACTCCTACTACTGGAGAGTTTATTTC